AGTTTGCAGTGAGCTGAGATCTGGCCACTGCACTCCAGCCTGGGCGACAGAGCAAGACTCCGTCTCAAAAAAAAAAAAAAAAACAAAAAAAACAACTCCTTTGAAGCTAGAAATCCTATCTCATTCAGTATGAAAGGCCTAGCAGTATCTAGACAATTAAGAAATGTATGGATTTCACAAAATCGCCAATAATTGAACTTGTATGTTAATAATCAACAACTAGAGCTTCTCACTCTTCTGTTACCTAAAATGTCTACTGGAGGACTTCAGAACAGGGTATGTGCCCTGTGAAGAAACCGCATGAGAGGCATAGTTCAGATGACTTTATCACCAGGAATGAGGAAGTGGTCCCTCCCCAATTTCACCTCCAAACCCTTCCTTCTCTCTCACATCCTCGGAACATTATTACACATATGCTGTATATGCCTGGCGTCCTTAACTCCACCACAACAGGACGTGCAGTGAGAGTGAAGGAGAGGCACGGTAACACCCGTCTTACACTTTTGGGTTTAATTTCCGCTTGTTTCTCCTCCAAACTATGGATAGGTATAGTTGCACAACGTTTTCACACCAAAGGCATTCCTCAAAATTTAAATTGTTAAAAAGTTGGCTTAACAGTAGTGGTTGCTGGCCGGGTGCGGTGGCTCATGCCTGTAATTCCAGTACTTTGGGAGGCTGAGGCAGGTGGATCACCTGAGGTCAGGAGTTCGAGACCAGCCTGGCCAACATGGTTGGCCCTGTCTCTACTAAAAATACAAAAAAAGTTAGCCAAACCTGGTGATGGGCACCCGCAATCCCAGCTACTCAGGAGGCTGAGGCAGGAAGATAGCTTGAACCCAGGAGGCGGGCGCTGTAGTGAGCCGAGATGGCACCACTGCACTCCAGTCTGGGCACCAGTGAGACTGTCTTATTAAAATAAAAAAAGTAGGGGTTGCTGGGAAGGAAAGGCCACAAGTTGGCAGACCTATTTACTCCTTATCAGCGGCCCAATACACAGTTTGAAATGTCTCTAGAATTACTAAAACCTGAAACTATTCTCTACAAAGCAACTTACATGAGCATTTGAAAATTAAATGCTACTTCTCTGCTTCCAATCCTCATTGCAATTAGAATCAATTCCCAACTTCTAACCATGGCCCACAAATACCAGGCCATCCCTGATCTGCCTACCACTCTGACCTTTTCTGCCAACAGCCCCCAACAACCCGTCCTGAGGCTCCAGTCACATCCCTTCTGCTCCTGGAGTTCCTGCCCGCCTTGGCCCCTTTATTCTAGCAACGCCCATCCCCCCATCTCTGAATATATGACTCATCTTTGTCATTCTGATCTGAGCTCAAATGTTAGTTCCACAGAGAAACCTTCAAGACCACCCTAAGGTAGTACCCATGCCTTAAAAGTCATTCTCACAGCTACTGCTTTATTAAGTTATTTGAAATTATCTTCATTTAGTGAACACTCTACTGAAGCCAGCACAGGGCCAGCTGACACACTGTAAACACTGAGATTTCTGAACAAATGAATGAAATTAAAGCGTAGACCTCCAAATGTCACTCTTAGCCATTCAGATACTACAAAAGATCTCAATTTTATACAAATGAAGTAGAAAACACAGTTCATCAGAAATTAAGAAACAATTCAACTAGTATTTATTGGTACCCAATCACAGGCCTGCCTGTGATATAGGAATACAATAGTTCAAGAATTCCACAAATTTAAATTGAATTGTGTTGAAAAGAAACCATGTTATATATGCTAGCCTGTAAAGGAGAATTTAACTCAAAATATAGCAGAACTACTTCAGGTAACAAAAACAGCAAGGGGAAAACTCCTCTCTTACGTTACTGAAACTGAAAAATTAGGAGTAAAAAAATTGTTATTTACACTGAATGCTACTGCTTAAAGAAATGAAACTTAATTAGAAAGAAAGAAGACAAAAAACTTCTTAAGAGCTTTTGCAGGGTACTTCTAAGGACTCTGGTGGGCTTTTTATACCCTTATGTGGGTAGGATAAGGGTTTGTGGGGTTTTTGTTTTGCTTACAAATGGAAAGGAAAGAAAGCAGATCATTTTCTCCCTAAAGATATGGGCAAGAGTTACAAAGAAAAAAGGAAATAATAGAATTTAAAAGACTTTTGCAACATTTTGTGTAGTAGAACTGGACTAAAAACAGTGAAAGAGGAGCTAAGTATGATACATGAGATAAGCTCCCTAAGCACTGGGCAACCGGGAGCCCCTGGATCAGACAGTCCTCTGAACTGGCACTGGTCAAGTCTCAACAACCTGACTTGCGGGAGTGAAGGGATGGGGAGAAGAGTCTCAGGAGTTTCCCGTGAAATTTAGGAAGCCACATTTGAACAGAAAAGAAAGTTACACACATTAAGCAAGACAGCATGAGATCAAGTGCAAACATGTAGTGAGAGAAGAGCTCCTCATTTGTATCACAATGGGCATATACTATTTGACAGGCTAAATTAACATTTCGGTTGAAAACTAAGTAATCATTCTGGTAACAGACAATGTAGTCTAACCAAAATCACATCGCAGGTTGACAGCCAACTGTTGTTTTCATGAATAGTAAATTGGGATACCAGAATTTAAAACTTATTTCTCCAGGGTGAAAACTGGATTCTCAATCACACTGGCCCTGGGAGAAAGGTATTGTTCATTAGCAGAAGTGGCACTGAAGAAAAATGACGTTTCCCTTGGGTCTCTCCTCCCTGGGGCTCTCCCGCTAGGGTGAGGTCATTAATTATTTAAATAATCCAGAAGGGATAGGAAGGTTATGTTTGCTAACATGCTGTTTTCTGCCATTTCCATTGAAAGTGCTATTATTAGATAATTAGTGTTGAAATCTTGACAAGTCAGCATTAAATGCTAATGAATCTTCATAAATAAACCCCATCACTCATTTTCAAGTGTTCTCAGTTCTAGTTATAATTTCTGGCTTTAAGGAGTGTCTTCTGGAGACGTAGTTCGCATCTTTTGGTTAGGATTTTCATGTAGTCTGCTTGCAGCCATAAAAAGGCATTTGTGATCTCTACTGTGATCGTCTTTAACATTTTTCTCTCAATAATTTCATATATTTACTTTGGCTTTTGTCCTTAGCAAATTCAGGTCTGGAAACACTGTTCTTTGCTGAAGATAATCTCACACTCCAGATCAACTCTTTGGAAAAATGTTACATGAAAACTACATAGGAGTGATCCCAAATAAATGGAAAAGTAGCCCATACTCAGACATGTGTTTATCCTCAAACACAAACCACTCATTTAATGACATAAATTACTACAAATGCTTTAAAAGGCAGTATCTCAATTCCCACAATTAACTGTCAAATATTCTTCCTCCAAACCAAAACCCACCTTAATTTTTAAAAATAAAAATTATTTAAAAAAATTATTCTGAGCGTTTATCGGGGAATAGCATCATATTTTTTTTTTTCCAATGATAAAATGGTACAGTGAATTTTTCACCTGGTATTTTCACTACAGAAGCTGTATGTACTTTCAGGGGTGTTGACTCAACCTTATACCTCGTGATTATTGCAAAACAGGCACTGTTTACAGAATTATTTTAAGTTTTCAGATTAATATTGACTTTGTTATCATGATTATTCTCCTAAAAAATAACTTTTTAGCCAGGTGTGGTGGCTCATGCCTGTAATCCCAACACTTTGGGAGGCTGAGGCGGGTGGACTGTTTGACCCCAAGAGTTTGAGACCAGTCTGAACAACATGGTAAAACCGTATCTCTACAAAAAAATGTAAAAATTAGCTGAGTGTGGTGAAGTCTCAGTTACTCAAGAAGGTGATGTAGGAGGATCGCTTGAGTCCAAGGGTTGAGGCTGTGTGCGTGAGGGTGCCACTGCCCTCCAGCCACGGTCTGTCCCCCCTCCCACCGACTCCCTACAAGCCCAGCATTTTCCCAAACAGTTTATACATTGCTTGTTCATTGGGATATGATGGGGAAGACCAGATTTTCAATCTATTAACTAGTCTATCAAGGCATTCTGCAGAAAGGGGAGTCCATTAGAACCAATGTAATGTATCTAGGACACAACCCATTCTAGGGCTGCTTTCATCACCTCAAATTCATAACATAACTTTAAGGGGCTTTGATGACCATGGACACAAGCTAACAGCTTAGCCTGAAAGCCCACTGGCCTTTGCACCAGTAATCCTCTCCATGCCACTTCAGCAATCCAGCTCCTGAGCATACCAAGAAGTGCCTGGTCACCACCCAGACTGCTGTTCCTCTGGCACCTGCCCTTCTTCCCACCTATCAATCAATACACAGGACCATGTATTCCCCAGTGGTCT